TCTGTTTTTCTCCTTAATTGTTCTCTATGTATCAGTCATGCAAGTAAGAGTTTTCCTATGTTACAAATAATAAAAATGAATACTATTTGTAGTATTAATAAATTGCTCTTGTTGTCCTTCTACTTAGAAAGTTTAGCATTGGGATAGCCTTGAGAGCTAATTTTATTAGCAACTCCACACCTCACATCATCAGAGAGAGAAGTTGAGAAGAAAACAGTTAAAGGAATTACAATACTCTCAAAATGTGATAAATCTTTCCTGGACAAGGATATGGGCTTTTTATTTCTTGTCTGTCCTAGATATATATTTGGAAATGTTGAAAGACACTGAGACCCCTATGTTGTTGTTGTTGTTGTTGTTGTTGTTCTTCTTCTTCTTCTTCTTCTTCTTCTTCTTCTTCTTCTCTTCCTCCTCTTCCTCCTCTCCTTCTCCTCCCTTCATTCTCCTCCTCCTCCCCTCCTCCTCATCCTCTTTCTCCTCCTCATCTTCTTCTTTTTAACCACACACCAAGAAGAAGGATAAAAAGACTCTGTATCCATGGTAAAATTAGAGAGTCTTTTGCAAAATGCACTGTAGCAGATGCTGTTGAGAAAAATCAGGTGCCATTTGTGGTGCCATTTACACTGAAATGCTAGTGCAAAAACCCAATCTGCCCAGCAAGCAGAAAGACCCTTCTATATCTTCTAGTTAGAAAAGTTACCTTTGAGGTGGTGAGGGAGGAAGAAGAACAGAGATAGACAGCACTATGGTCTGCTTTTAGGACATTAGCCAGAGCATTGGCTAGTTGTGGGAAATCCTGCTCCAACTTGGAGAGGAGATCAAAGTGGGTATGACTCAGCTGCCCAGGGTTGGGGTCCTAACACTCTGTTCCTCGAGGATTTGGGCTAGAAGGTTTGTTACTGTTACAGAGCTTCTCCTTGGCATAGGCTCTGAGGACTTAACATGTAACAAAGTTTTCTATATTGTTACAAGTATGGTTCAGCTAGTCACTATCAGGAGAGTAGTGAGCAAATAACAAACCACTCCCTGGTCTTCAACAAAACAATTGGTTCTGTGTTAGGTGGACGGCTGCCAAGAATGCAGAGACTTGGGGCTTTGTGCAGACATGATCAGGGATTCCCAGCCACAGAAAAAGGATTGCCCAACTCTGCTGAGGGCTGCTCCAGAGCTGGGACTCCACACTCTGTTTCCAGCAACACTTGGTATTTTAAACTTTTGAGGATGGACTTTTTTCAAAGTCAACAGTTCCCTTGCTGAGCAACCAATCTCAGCCAGGCGAATATAAGCTTTGCAGAAAAGGTCAGAAAAGGAGATGAATCTCTGGTGTGAATTATCTGGATTTATGAGTATGGGCTCTTAGACAAGATTTGACCTAGCTTTTAGTGGAAAATAAAGAATTTGAAGTAAAGGTTTGGAGAGGACAAGGAGCAATCTAACAATACCTTTTTATAGTGTATGTGCACACACGCACACAAGTGAAACTTAATCTCTTTGTCCCCAAGTAGTGATTGTGTTCTATTATTCAGATGGGTGGAGGCAGGATGAATTCTGTCTTGCTATTCAGTGCTATTTCTAACCAACCCTTTTTTTCTTAACCTAATCTCTAATTTTAAATCTTGTATCATCTGACTATAGCATTTACTGTTTTCCAACTTATATCCATCTACCACTTTGCAGATATTTTTCTGAAATGCCTCAAAGATTGTTATTCCTGGCAATGGCCAATCTGTTTTTTGTAATATTTTTTTCGTGGTTTCAGTTTTCTCCTGGATAATTTGTCCAATGTTCTCATTCTTTGTTTAATTTCACTTAATGAATATAGTTGTTTTGCCTGCATGCACATTTGTTCACTTATGTGTGTGCCTGGAACTCACAGAGGTGAGCAGAGGGTGTCAGATATTCAGGAAGACTTATTTTCTTCTCTCTCTCTCTCTCTCTCTCTCTCTCTCTCTCTCTTTTCTTTTGAGACAAGGTTTCTCTGTAGCTTTGTAGCCTGTCCTGGAATTAGTTATTGTACACCAGGCTGGCCTCAAAGTCACAGAGATCCACTTGCTTCTGCCTCCCAAGTGCTGGGATTAAAGGTGTGCACCACCACCACCCGGCTAAGACTTACTTTCTTATTTCCAGAGTTAGGGATCAGAGACCATGCCTTGGCTGCCCTAACAAGCTGGTCTTGGCCACATGTCCTTGATTAGGCTATTAAAAGAGCCATATTAAAAGTGATAAGCAGAAAATGGCTAGGCAGTGGGGGTATATGCCTTTAATCCTAGCGTCCAAGAGGCAGAGACCAGCCTGGTCTATAGAGCTAGTTCCAGGACAGCTAGGGCTACACAGAGAAACCCTGTCTCAAAAAACTAAAAACCAAACAACAAACAAAAAGAAAAGCAGAAAGTGATTTATTCAATGTGATCACATTGGGAAGAGGAAGAAAGGGGTCCATCTTCCAGTGGTCCAAACGGAAGGCATCATTAAGCAACCCCGATCAAGGTATGGTTATTCACTCAGGTCCTGTCTCTTGCAGGGTGGTCTGACAAGTTATTAGCACTCTGTGAAATCTCTCTGATTTTGGGGAATCAGGTTCCCTGATGGCTGGCGCTAGATGTCAGCCTTTTCCTTCTCCAATCATGAGATTCTTGCGGCAAAGTACAATTCCTTAGGGGCAGCTTTGTTCCAACAGTCCAGACAGCCATAGTTAGGGACACAAATGTCTCTTTAGAGCATCCTCATCCTTTCCAGGCATGGCAATTAGTCTGTCTATACTCATTGACTAGTGAGTCATGAAATTGAATCTATAGGCTAATAACTCTCAGATCAACCCTTTCAGTTCAGAATTCTCCTCCAGGTACTTTTATCCCACTATGTTCTTGGATGTTGAGTATGTAAGTGAAATTTTATCCTCAGCTCCTGATCTTCTCCCACCCCAACTCCACTCCTTGACCATCTTCACCATCTCAGGAAAATGCAATCCCATCCTGTAGACTCAAGAGGAAACCCCAGTTTTCCTCAACAGCAGATTTCTAGCTAAACATTCAACAGGTCCTCAAAATCTTGCTTCCCAAATACACTCGGAATTTCACAACTTTTCTCACCATTCCCACCACTGCACCGGGGGCAAAGACATCATAAATTCCTAATGGAGCTATTGCAATGGCCTCTTAACTAGCCTTTCCTCCCTTTTTGCCACTCCTGTTTAATTCTCAACATCACATACAGAATGATGATTTTTTTTAAAAAAAATTCAAGACAAATTGGCCCTCAGTAGCTCACAATCCTGTAATGGTGCCCCATCTCAGCACAGCATACTGCTCAACATGTTCTATGTGATTTGTCATCTTGTCTCAGTTCTTCTCCTTTCACCCTCTTCTAGGCATACTCAGTCAGTGCTCCCACACCGATGCTCACTCTCTACCTGGAACAATTGTGTGTGTGTGTATGTAGGCACCTAGTGAAGCCAGAAGAGAACACTGGATTCCTGGAGCTGGGGTTATAGGAGGTTGTCAGCACATGGGTGCCAGGATCTGAACTTTGGTTCTCTGGAAGAGCAGGAAGCATTCTTAACCACTGAGCCATCCATCTCTTCAGCGCCTACCTGGAATATTCTTATACCGCCGTTCAATTATGTTGTATGCCTATTATTCCAACCCTTGGGATGCTGAGGCAGGAGGAACTACATCAGAGATCCCATTAAAACCTATCAGACAATCAATTAAATACCTAAAACTCTCCCTTGAAGCTTATTATGGCTTGTTCCATGATCTCATAGTCTTTGTTTGAAAGTGCTTTAGTTTTTAAAAATAAATTGGCAGAGGATGTAGTTTTTGACTAGCTTGAATGGGGCCCTGGGCTTACTCCAGTACTGCGTAAAGCAAAATAAAAACAGAACACAAAGAATAACCTCAAGTGTCTTATGTCCTGTCTATGTCCCTTCACTGTACAGTAAATCTCCCAAACAAGAATATATGTTGAAGTGAAGCTTGGTGGCACATGCCTGTAACATCAGCCACTGGAAAGGCTAAGGCAGGAGGATTGCAAGTTCGAGGCCTGGCGTTCAGTGAGTTCCAGTTCACCATGGTCACTTTAGTGGACCCTAAAGCAAAAGCAAGTCTTAAGGGGGTTGGGGAATTTTGCTGCAGTGCTTGTCTAGCATGCCAGAAGCCTTAGGTTCAACTCCAGCTCTCACACACACATGCACGCACGCACGCACACACTCACATCAAAACAATGAGCTTATATCTCTCAGGTTTAATGAAATGTCGCAAGCAGTGTTTGGAGACCACTCACTAGGTTGCACACAAGAACATGTTGAGGATAATCGTGAAACTGCGTTGTAAACCTTAAGAATGACATAAAGGGATAGTGTGCTTTACTATTTATTGGTTTAATCTGTATTTTGAGGATGCCCTGGCAGGATGTTCTACACCAGTGGTTTTCAACCTTCCTAATGCTGCAACCCTTCAATACAGTTTCTCATGTTGTGGTGACCTTAACCATAAAATTTATTTCATTGCTACTTCAGAAATGCAATTTTGCCACTGCTGCAAAATATCGGATATAAAGGCTATTTGATATGCGACCAAATGGGGTTGTGACCAACAGGTTGAGAATCACCTTTTGGGTGCTTTCTTTCACTGCGTACCCTTGCCCGCCCGCACATCATGCCAGACATCCCTCTTACAGATTAGGAGATGACAAGCCAGGCCGTGATGGCACACTCCTTTAGTCCCAGCACTTGGTAGGCAGAGACCTGCAGACCTCTGAGCTCGAGGCCAGCCCGGTCAACAAAGAGATTTCCAGAACAGGCAGGGCTACACAGAAAAAACCCTGTCTCAAAAGAACCAAAAAAATAAAAACGAAAATAAAATCGAGATGACTACAGCGCTAGTGAGCACGCAGAGGCGGAACCTAAACTCGGAGATTTCCCCGACCTGCTCTGGACCTCCCATCCAAAGGGCAGGAAGCGGAAGTGACGGACTCCCCCCCCCCCAAGTGCCCGGATCCCCGCCCCTCGCACTTTCCCTGCCCGGAGGGATGACGCGAAGCCGGAAGGGGCAGGGCAGGCGTCCGACGCGGAGTGGCGGTTTGTTGTCCTGGCTATCCGTAGCAGCCCGCGGAGTTTGAGTGTGAGGAGGTCCGGGTCGTGGCGGGCTCCAGGCTTCCCAGGTTCCCTTGTCACTGCCCGCGCTTCTGCTCGAGCTTCACAGGTTCCCCGCCCTCCTGCACCGGCTCCGGTGGGGCCGCGCTTCTCGCTGCTGTGGAGCATCCTCTCAGACCCAAGTCCTGTCCCCACCGCCCACTTATGCTCAACTCTGAGCAGTTTTCCGTCTCCCAAACCAATCCTCGTTTCTCCTTCCCTTCATTTCCTTTCCTCCCGGAAAGTAATTTTCAAACAACCCCCCCCCCCCCCCAATCTTTATTTCTTGCCCCTCTCTTTTCTCCTAAGCAGAAGTCAGATGCCAGGAGGTATGGCGCCCCTCAAGAAGCCTCGGAATCCCACAAAATTACCCCTGGCTTTAAACCCCACGAAGAGTAAGGACGTTTTGGCAGTGCTGGCTGAGAGGAACCAGGCCATAATACCAGTTGGGGCATGGGTGGAACCTGCCTCACCAAATTGCTCGGAAATCCCCGCACATGTGAGTGTCAGTTGACCCAGGTACAGAGATCCCTGCCACCTTTTTTTTTTTTTTTTTTTTTTTTTTAGTAGGCGTCTCTAATTGTTGGTGCTTGGAGATGAACAGCAGAAGAATGCTGTTTCTATTCTGTTATAGATTATATTCTTGTGTATGGATTATACAATAATGATGTATTTTCCATCTTTTGTTGGCATAATCAAGTACTATTTCAGTACTTATTACTCACCATACAGAACATAATTCGTGGACCAGTAAATAGTTTATTTCACAAACTTGATTGTTTGCTGTGTACATCTTGCAGACACTCTGTAACATGATATGAATGACCGTTGGTCACACTTTAAATGTTAATTAGCTGCTCAAAGTTTATACGCTTTTAAATGAAGATCAAAGCAAAATGAAGTAAGAAATAGAAGAGAAAGAGTTTAATCCTGACAGAAACACAGAGAAAGTTGTAAATTCCGCGAGGACAGGGAGACTTTTCGTTCCTTCCTCTTCTGGTGTAAAGTAGGCCTTTTAGGACGTATCTGTTGACTGAATGAGAAGATATGGTCTTTGTTGGTCCTGAAAGAACAGAAATGCAGTTGCTGCAGACAGGAGGAAGCATTTCAGATGAAGGAACACCCTTCCGAAAGTTTACCACATGTAAATGTTTGAATGAGTATCATGCTAACACATGGAGCGGTTTTGCAAGGTTTTTGTTTAGTGTTTCAACGGGCTCTCCCTTGGCTCTTGGTTCAACTTTTATTGTGCATAGCGAACAAATGTTCCACAACTCGTTTTTATATTAAATAAATATTGCCTAATTTATGTAGATACCCAGAAAGTGTTTATGGAATGCAGGAAATCTGCAGTTTTCTTAGTGTAGACAAGGAACTAAACATGGGTGAAAAATATATTCTTAGTGCTCTTAATTTTACAGGAGATACAAGACACATTTAGATATTATATAAGGGTTCGGGAGATGGCTTAGCAGGTACTTGTGCAAGCCTGATGACCTGAGGTTCTGGTCCTGGAATCCAGGTACAAGCTAGATGGGGTGGGTACGTCTGTAATCCCCACACTTCTGTATTGACATGGGAGCCAGAGACCGGAGAATCTTGCAGAAGCTTGTGGGCCAGCTAGCCTGAAGCAAAGAGAGACCCTGCCTCAAAACCAGGTGGAGGGAGAGAGAGAGAGAGCCAACTTCTGAAAATCCTCTGATCTCCACACATGAGATCAGACTATGGCATACACATGTCTACACACACACACACACAAACATACAAAATAAATTTTGAAAATTATAAATGTGGGGCTAGAGAGATGGCTCAGCAGATAAGAGTGCTGTAATGGCTGCTCTTGCAGAATTCCCAGCACCCATTAGGCAGCTGTCTTTAACTCCAATTCCAGAGAATCTAAACCTTCTGGTCCTTGAGGACACTGCAGATACGTGGTGCACAGACATACATGCGGCAAAACACCCATACACAAAAAGATAAAGATAATAAAAATTATAAATGGCTAGATATGGTGGCACACGCCTTTTATCCCGCCGGCACTCGGGAGCAGCAGCAGGTGATCTCTGAATCTGAGGCCAGCTTGGGAGGTCCAGGTCAGATATAATAAGAGCCAAGTCAAAACCCAAGTCATCAACTCCCCCCAGTTACAAATATTAATAACAATACAATATAGTAAGTTAATTTTATTTATGTTCGTCATGTATATCATTACATATTCATTGATTTATGCCTAGCTTGTCACCTTTCAGAAAGGTATTCAAGAGTTGGATTGCGTGTGATTAAATGCTAAGACTGTCTCGCTAATCAAAGCGACTTGGTTGGTATGTAAATTTAAAACAATCTGGATAAGCAGAGATGAGATGATTCTCCTATCAGGGGGACTGAGGATAGTAGAAAGTAAGCAGGAAGTGTTCAGGATTATAAGCATGGGTTGCATTGATTGGAGTGGAAGACTTAATACTTGACAGGATTTGAAAATCAGGGCAGTGGCAAACTATAGGAAGTCTTGGGGAATATTGATTTTGTTCACTATTTAATATTTACAAATATGTTCCATGATCAAACTGTTTGAATTAAATTAATTGCCTCAAAGTTATAAGAGTTAGGGAGAGATTAGATTTAGGGGAACAAATTAGAATAAATTAAAACACTTTAGACATAAAGCATATCATCAGAATTTCTTTAGTAATAGGGAGTGAAGGAGAGAAAGCCCTGAAACAGGTGAGTGAAATAGAAATCAATAATTAAAAATTGATACAAAGTTATTATTGAAGTCAATACACTTTAATTCCATCTATTTATTCGTGTATGTGGAAATTGGTTCTCTCCTCCCGCCATGTGGGCCTTGGCGATGGAGCTCCGCTCATCAAAACCTTTCCCTGCTGAGCTACCTCACTGGCCCAATACTTCTTAATTACCAAGATACCTTTATAATCTCAGTAGTATCATATTATTCAAAATTTGTTACCATAACACCTTTTTTGTTGTTTAAAATAGTTTAGTTTTAGTTTTCACACATTTAGAATATTTAAAGTCTTGAAACACGCACAAATTGTCTCCTTTCCTATTTTTAAATAATCCTGTTATCAGTTCCAGTCAAAGGGAGTTTGATCAAGCATTTGGTAGAGTTCTTTATTACTTCTGCATATTTAATCTGAGAAGCCATCCTTATAAACAAGCACAGTCATTTCAAAGATGGGGTAAATAGTTGCTTGGCTGCTCTAAGGGCATAACCTATTCTACATTCCAAGGGATCTTGAGAGTGCATAAAAACCTCGTAGCTTGGAACTTCATTTCTCTTTGGTAATTAAATTATTATGAAAAAAAATCACTGTGGTCTTATATAAGATCTCTCTTGCATATTATACCCCCATTGTCTTATTGTATAACAAGCCACATGCAAACATAGTGGCATAAAGCAGGAAATACTGTGTGTCTTTATCTACTTTGGTGTCCTGGGCCTCAGCTGAGTGGCTTAAATAACTGGATGTATTTGGGACAGCTTGGTGGGTTCTGGCCTTTAAAGTTCTTGGGTCTTTGCAGGCTATCGTGTTCAGTAAGACTTTTTCATGTGTGTAATTTGGGCTAGGATGACTAGAATATCTGGGGGTGGCTGGATATCTTTCATGTCATTTGGCTAGTTTGACTAGCTGTGTTTCCGTTGACCATGGGAGTCTCAGAGCAGTAAGAATTCTTTTGTGGCACTGGCTTTCCCCCATGGTGAGCTTTCCAGAGCTTCAGTAGAAGTTACTTAATGACCTTGTTGGGGAAGTCATAGACCCAACATTTCTGCCTCATTCTGTTGTTTATACATAGATAGATAAAATTGTGTGTGGGTTAAAAGACTACACAGTAGTGTCAATACCAAGAGAATTGATTATTTAGATTAAGATATATCATTTTTGAAGACCAATTTTATATAATTTAAGCATTATTTTCATCATATATAAATTACCCAAAGAAAGGAGTGTTAAACATTTCCTGCCCTCAGAATTCATAATCTAGTAGGAGAATTAGTGCTACATTTTATTCATATTAAAATGAAATGTGCTATAGCACAAGAGCTCAGAGGAAATTGCTGGATAATCTTGACATATAGGAAGGCCTTTACTAGATGGATGTAAGGAGAGCCACATTAGAAATGGAGGGAAAGGCACTTGGGAGACAGGAAAGGAGGTTGAGGTCAGCTTTAACTGTGTAGTGGGCTGCAGACTAGCTGGGGCTATAATAGTGACATACTCCCTTCCACCCAAAAAGGGGATGGCTAATTCTAAGTAGGAAGGCACTATACATTGGAAACATGTCTGGTGAATGGTGAGCAATATGGTATTTCTACTGTCTACTGATATTAGAAGCCATGACACAGGGTCAAGTTCATTAAGAATTAATGAAGACATCTTTGATTTTAGTTGATTGAATAAAACATTAGGATTTGATATGATATTCATACATTCCATTTTTTAAAACTCTTGACTTGCTCTAAGCTCCTGGGACTTGCTAGCTACACTTAGACAGTGGGCTTAACTCTGATTTCCTTGCTCCTCTGGAGACTCGGTCTTCACAATTATAGACTACCTTTTCTGTATTCATGGCATTCCTCATGGGCAAAACTGATGACATTTAAGTTCATTTTCTATCTTTTCTCTTCAAAGGCTTCAGCATACATGATTGAAGAGGAAATAAAGGAGCAGCAACGAAGAAAACAAGAATCTCTGAAACATTTTCAGAGACAAGTCCAACACCGGGTAAATCAGCAAGTTAAGCTGAGGAAAAAGCAACTCCTTCAGAAGTCCTACAAAGCAGTGAGTCCCTAAGTGAGCTAGCTTGGGTGGGAAGCTTGTGTGCTGTGAGATAAGCTGTGAGGCCCCATCAGGATCGCTTCTCCTTTGATTCTGTGTTGTTAAAATCCATTATCTACGAGCCCAGTCAGTTTTCATGTAGAGAAACTGTTTTTATTCCTGTGTTGTTCTGACTTGCCTTTTTCCCCCACCTTTCATTAAATACTTGAAAAAGAATGTCAGGATTTTGGGTATAGATTTAAGTTTGAATTCCTCGAATGAATTAGGGTGGGTCTTCCCACCTCAATCATCCGATCAAGAAAGTCTCTCCCAGGTGCTTGGGTTTTCCTTGATTGCAGACGTAGTCCAGTTGAGAGCCACAGTTAGCCATCACAGTATGATGTGATACTGAATCCTACAGAATTGTAGAAGAGCTAGTGGGATAATCTGGTTAAATTATTAGCACGTGAGAGGTGCCTGGTAAATGTTGGCTACTCTGTCAGCTAAGGCTTCCTGCCCCCTACTCTGTTGTTTTGGTTGAAAATCTTATGGCTGCTGGGAGGGATTATTTGTGTTAGAAGGGAATAGAGTCTCATTATCCATCCTGTTTCCTTTGCGTAGGCAGAAAAGGAAGGCTATATAGCCATGCGATGTTCAGATCCGACACATTTAACTCCTAAAAGGACAAGTGTTTTCCCCAGCAATTTGAACGCTGCTATTGGAAGTTGTAGGTTACCCCCTTCCCAGGTGCTTGGGGATGCAACAGAAGACGGAGAGAATCAGAATCAGTTGTTTAAACAACAAGCTCACGCTGTAAGTACAGGTACATTTCATTTTATATTAGTGATGCTTCCCCTCAGTCCTCTAACATATAGATATATTTAGGGTATAAAATAGAGATTACGAGTTAATATACTGTATTTCACTTTTTTTCTTGTGTGTATGTGTAGTATATGTATGTATAGACGTGTGTGTGTGCACATGTATAAGTTTGACGTTAACATCAATTCTCCTTCTCACTCTCTTCCTGTCTTATATATTGAGGCAGGGTCTCTCACTGAACCTGGTGTCCCATTTCCCATCTCTGCCTCTCACATACTGAGATTTATACATGGACACCAGCTCACCTGGATTTTTACATGGATTCTGGGGATCTGAACTCTGGTCTTCACAGTTGCACAGCAAACTCTTTACATGCTGAGCTATCTTTCAAGCCCAACTTCACTTTTTTATTGCCACTTTTTTTTTGGGGGGGGGACTAGTATGATAGTACTTATTTTCATTTTAAAAAATTGTTTATGGATTGATTGACAGGTTGGCTGATAATGTCTGTAGCTCAGGCTAACCTGAGACCCACACCTCTGTCTCCCAAGTTCTGGGGTCCTTATTATACATATCTCCCTTATTATAATATATTACATTCTTTTTTGAGAAGACATTGTAGAACCAGCTAAAGAAAGGTATTAAAAGTGTATAATTCAAAATTTATTAGAGTCTTAAGTCAAAGAACATCGAGTTTCCCAGTTATACTGAAATTATGTTCTTTATATATTATTGCCAGTTAGTAGCTACAGACAGAACTGATGTTAACCTTTGATGCTAAGGAATTCAATATAGTTACAAGCATTTCATTTATTATTTTTTGTTTCTCTTTTTAAATTAATAATAAAATTATCTACTATATGCCAAGCAATAATATTTTAAATTCTTAGCATATCAGAATATTTGGAAAAACTTTAGTGACTTTTTAAATGTATCTAATTAAAATTGAAAGCACCGTGAGTAGCAGCATACTCCCCATCCAATCAGTTCCTTTCTGGGTTACCTGAGCTTTTATTGATGTGTTGCTTACCTCTACTTTAAGAAATGTTCCTCATCCTATTTTAAAATACATAGTTAGGGATAGTGAGAAGAAAAGAAAAAAAATGTGTTAAACAATGAGCACATGCAAATAAAAGCCATTCTACTTCCTGAGTTAATGTACTTCGCCAAGTTTTACTTAGGTTCAGGGATTGACCTCACTGGGGCAACAAGACAAGATATAGGGGCACCTGTACAGAAAAGCTGGGATCAGATGTGCTGGGCTCTTTGATGGAGAAGCTACAATATGCCAAAAGTTCAGCATGTTTATTGTGTAGAGTTCAACAGTGAGGTAGGTTATTGCATACAGCTGGATCAAGGAGGCAGGGCTTATGGTACACAGCTGGATCAAGGAGGCAGGGCTTATGGTACACAGCTGGATCAAGGAGGCAGGGATATGGTATACAGCTGGATCAAGGTTGTAGGGATTATGGTTGGATCAAGGAGGCAGGGTTTATGGTACACAGCTGGATCAAGGAGGCAGGGCTTATGGTACACAGCTGGATCAAGGAGGCAGGGATTATGGTATACAGCTGGATCAAAGAGGTAGGGATTATGGTTGGATCAAGGAGGCAGGGTTTATGGTACACAGCTGGATCAAGGAGGCAGGGCTTATGGTACACAGCCGGATCAAAGAGGCAGGGATTATGGTATACAGCTGGATCAAAGAGGTAGGGATTATGGTATACAGCTGGATCAAAGAGGTAGGGATTATGGTATACAGCTGGATCAAGGAAGTGGGGATTATGGTATACAGCTGGATCAAGGAGGCGGGGCTTATGGTATACAGCTGGATCAAAGAAGTGGGGATTATGGTATACAGCTGGATCAAAGAAGTGGGGATTATGGTATACAGCTGGATCAAGGAGGCGGGGATTATGATACACAGCTGGATCAGGAGCCATAAATGCCTGGGGGGAGTGGGGAAAGCTATGTTGAATTTTTTCTGCACACGTTATCAATATCTGCATATGGAGCATCTGTCTTAACCTCACCCAAGGAAGGCTTTGCCACTTCCAAGGCACTGGGGTCCTTGACATGTCCGTTCCATGTCAATAGCACACATCCACTCAGGATTTACTCACTTCCGCAATACTTGGTCATAATCGAATTGGGCTACATGTGTAAGTAGAGAGAGTGTTAGAAGGCACATGCTATCATCTTTGAATTTTGTTTTGATATTTCTTTTGCCTCAAACTTTTTTCTTCGTTCTGGGACATTGTATAATTTGTAGTAATCATTTTGATAATTATCTTAATTTTCTTTTTTAAAGTTTATAAATAGGAGCCAGATATAGTGATAAATACTTACAATCTTCGTCTTCAGGAATAAGGTCAGGAAAATAGAAAGTTTGATACTACATAGATTCTCCCTTTATAAAAAAAAATGAAGAATTTATTAAACTAGACACTGGTTACATTATAAGAGTGAAGGAAAATCCAGTCTTTACCATCATGATTATAACTATAAATCTCATTGCAATAAGGATTTTTTTTCTATAGAATACAGTGTGTGGCTTGTCACGCAGTCAGCGTGTAAGTGAACAGATTATATTTGTTAAGTGTTGTAGGGGGATACTAATATGTGAAATAGGACCCTTGATGGGTTTACATTTCCAAGTAGATATACTGTAGTCTCCTATACCCCAAATCTAGTAAGTAATATAGACATTTAATGTGCTTGACCAAAAAAGTTGTGCCGTGGAAACTCCAAATTTTAAAATTGTAAGGAAATTGTACAGAGAAAATTTCTGCAAAGGTGGGATTGAACTGCTTGTTTTGAATTGGTGTGCGGACCTAAATTGATAAACTCCAGAGACTTTTTGAGATAGGAACAGTGAAAAGTGTGGGATCTGTAATGCTAGAATAAGTGATGAAATCTTTCTAGTTGGTAGTTTATAAGGAAATAATGCAGAAATGAGGTGAGACAAGAAATCCAGTTATAAAGAGCCTTTGTATTATGAAATGTTAAAGGTTTGTATACATTTTCATTCTTTTTCCTTGAAAAAGATGACTTAGTGAAGGATGTCTAGTGACCTCCTGATTTGGTCCTGTGAACTTTTGTCCACACAACCCTGTGACAATGGTTGTTTTTATTTTCACCATTTCTAGTGCACTTTTAATCCACTAGATGTCATTATGAAACCAGACAATGAAATTGTTGAAGCATTAACTCCTGTACTTTATGTAGAAATGACTAGATAATGGCATCATAATTTTATTTCTGGATGTTAGTGAGTTTTCAGGTTTTGTTTCTTTAAACTATAGAAAAATAGAATACTGGGGTTGTGATGGAGGAAGGTCATTGGCTAATAAAGGAACTGCCCTGGCCCATTTTATTGGTTAGAGGATAGGTGGGAGGAGAAAACAGGACAGAACACTGGGAGGAAGAGGAAGTGAGGTCAGAGACTCCACAGCTCTCTCGGGAGCAGACGCCTGAGAGAGACGCCATGCCCCGCTCCCAGGATGAAGCTCCGAACCAGGATGGACTAGGCTAGAATCTTCCCGGTAAGACCGGTTCTCACAGATTACTAGAGATGGGTTGATCGGGATGTGAGAATTAGCCTGTAAGAGCTAGAGCTAAAGGGCCAAGCAGTGCTTAAAAGAATACAGTGTCTGTGTAATTATCGCCTGCCGGGGTCCTGGGAACGCAGCCCCGCCGCCCTTTTTACTACAGTTGGCGCCCAACGTGGACAACTGCTTCCACATAAAGCCTGAGACAGCTTGGAAAGTAATTCTAGAACAAAATGAAAGCATTGTGCCTGGTTTCTTGGTAGCAGCAATTTCTCGGTTCTACTCTGCTTGCTCGAGGCAAGCAAGCGCCTCATCTAAGAGAGGCTTCCTGACTCAGCTTTAGCTGCAAAGCCTGCAGCTCATTAAGAGGTCCTGCCACGAAACACTTAAACGGTGTTGACGAAAAGCTGAACGCATGCTTTTCGGTTTTCAGCCATAGCAGGAAAAAAGCTGCGCCGTTTAAAAATGCCGGCTTTCTGGGCCATCCTGCCAGGGCAAACTCTGACTCTTTTACGCAGGCGGTTTGTGCGGTTTGCAAGCACAGGCTGTTGAAGCTCGCTTGCTGGCTACAGCCAGTACCTCCGCCATGAGGCTGGAAAGCTAAGGAATGGACTGGATCTAGCTGGCAAAGCCACGCCTTTAGTCCTACTGAGATCGCTTGGTAAATTAAAGACTCATGTGGTCAGAAAAAGAGAGATATACAGTAAAGAGAGATTCAAAGACAGAGAAAATTTCTGAATGGTTTAAAGTGTGTTAAAAAAAATATGCAGACTAAAAGTTGAAGTTCTTAAAGTCAAAAACATAAAAAAAAGGAAGAGAGTTGTTGTGTGTGGTAGCACACGCCTTTAATCCCAGTGCCTAGAAGGCAGAGACAAACAGATCTCTGTGAGTTCAAGGTGTAGTAGTGTACACCTTTAATCCCGAATGCCTGGGAGGCAGAGACAGGCGGATCTCTGAGAGTTCAAAGACAGCCTGGTCTACAGAGTTACTTCAGGTCAAAGATACAGAGAACCTGTCTCAAAAAGCAAAGAGTTAAAAGTAAAAATAAACAAAATAGAGGTTAAAACAAAGCTGCACAAAGATGGAAAATATACAGAGAATTTTGATACTGTATGCTATTATGCTCTCTTTGAATCGTTTGAATGCTGAGGAAGGACCAACAGCTGCTAAAAGATATTTGTTTATAAATGCTGCTGAACTAATCCAACATAGATACTTTGAAAATGCCTTAACTTTGAAATTTGGATCTAAGGACATGATGCTTTGGAAAGGAGTTTCTTATTTTGTTTTCACAGAGGATGAGATGCTGTTCATTTCTTCTATTCTGATTTGGTATGATCGACCACGCCCTCCTGAAGGGTTGCAGTGAACATCTTCAGAAAATTGCTTCGCTCAACTGCCAACTGAGATGAAACTAGCACACAGGTTATACCATGAAAG